CTTTTCACGACTTCGGCGATTTTCACTTGTCAGAACTATTGGACCACGTACCACTGGAAGGCAATCGAAATACGCATTGAAATCAAGATTTAGGGTTCACGAACTTTTGCAAGCTGCACAACTCATCAGTTTCTTGAGGTTATCGCTCCACTACTTGGTTCTGTTACATATTTTACGTGTCTCTCTAACTTCTACATATCGGCTACATTCTTCTGTAAGCCCCACTCTTCCTAGACACCACTGGTATGTGATGAGAAAAGAGACCATCCGTCATCTAACCACGGTTTCATTGGCTTTCCCCATGGTCTTGTATGTTAATTGAAGTGTACTTCTCTGTCTCTTTCATGTTCTCTCAGATCCAGCGACTCCATTCTACCGTCCGAAAACAGCTCTTTACAAATATAGCCTACCGAAAACACCTATTCATTGAGAATGCATTAGATTGTACTATGATGGAAACGATTATGGCAGCTTTGAAAAACCAGGGCGCCGCTACTCTTGGGACAAATGAGTCCAATAGATTTCTTAACTTTTATGGATTACATAGACACTAACTTCCCAATTAGAAAGCGCCGTTCTACAGGGATATCAAAATTAGCATCGATGGAACGAAAAAAGCTCGACCGAGCGACACTATCTCACCAAAACAATTCGACGCAACCCTCAAAAGTTTTAGTGCTATACTATCAGGGTGAAGTCCACAAGTGGCAGCTATAAACCACCTTTGCCATGTTGTGAATGCTGTTCGATTCCAACGGTGTATATCGAAGAATAGATCTTCGGCTGAATTGAAAGAAGATTACGTCCATGAGAAGCGCATCTGTTCTTCACGCCTCTTTCACGCTGAATTGAACGAACATAACGGAACGCGTGCATTTTGTAGTTATGGATTGATAAGTTAGCATGATGAACGACTTCGCCTTAAATTAGGAAATACAACAAACGACCTAACTGCTATCTTCTATACACCGCAGTTCTTACTGCCTTACCGTACTCCATGCAATCTTGACTGACATGTAACCAGTATGAAAACGTATCAGATGCGTTGTCGCGAGTGTAGTACGACAAACATTTCCATTCACACAAGTGAGCTTGAAAATCTAGAACTGTCTCATCGATGATCGCAAACGCTACCACATAAGTTAAGATCTCAAAAATAAAGTTGGCCCACAAACTCGATTTGTCTTAACGATAAGGGCTAAATGGAGTTGTTGGTGATAAGGTCTAACTGGATATCGAGTACAAAATAGAAGGACCCCTACTTTACAGTCATAGCTTTTCATGACGACTCCGAAAGAAAAATACAGTGTGCTTACATTCCATTAAAGCGAGCGTGACCTACTGTGACAAATACGGCAAGCAGCAAGAATGATGGCAGAATTTACCGGCGTAAGTGCTTCAGTTGAGTTCAGTATTACAACTACCATTATCCTTATTTTTTTCCTGTATTCTTACTATTATTACCAGCGAAAAATATATTCTTTTTCCACGGGAAAGTAAAAAGGATAAAAGGATGGATCTCTCGGCGTTGACCAATCTATGAGAGATACGCTATGCATTCGACTCCATTCGTAGCATTGTAGAGGTGAATGAATGCAATCTGGCCCACACAATGACTCGCGGTAGCCCACCAATGTATCGAGTCAATGCTGCTGCCCTCCCAAACAGGTCTAGTAGCAATTTTTCGACGCTGAGGGATGGAAGGCTCGGTGAACCTGAAAAGCGGGATCGAGCCCATGTGTATTAGAGCGCTCCTCTAACCACTGCGCTACAAGTGCTCCTTTACGACAGGGAGCGATGTGAATACTACTCCTAATATTCAGTTCATCAATGATGCTGAGATATTTGCAAAACTCCGGACCGCAGGTGTCTGCGGTGGGGAACGAACGCGTTATTGTCCTTTCCAGGGAGTAATGCGTTCGTCACCACACCATGCGGGTCCTTCGTTTAGCCTGCCTCTCAGCTAGTTCTATCGACCTTTTCCCACCAGCAATCACCCGTCAGCGGGATTGATCTGGGGAGCTCAAATCGGCAACGAACCCAGTTAATCTGAGGCTGCAGTTATAATCACAATCTTAACCGTTTTATTTACTGCCTATTCTTTTTTAACGGCAGGGTATACATTGCGAAATATAACTTTAATGATGCTGAAGTATTTGCAAAACTTCGGACCGGCATGGTGTGGTGGTGAACGCGTTACTCCCTGGGAAGGACAATAGCGCGTTCGTTCCCCACTGCGGACACCAACGGTCCGGAGTTTTGCAAATATCTCAGCATCATTAAAGTTATATTTCGCAACATACCCTGCCGTTAAAAAAGAATAGGCAGTAAATAAAACGGTTAAGATTCAGTTTTTCCTTATCAGCATTTACCTAGTGATTTATCACATCACTTTCGCCGTGTAACAAATCTAGCCACAAGATCGAAACCTTTCCCGAGACCAGATTTAGCGTCGATTATTTGTGGTAATGCCAGCAATATAAGCAAACCGGGCTTCTGAAAACTTCATGAAGAAGATCTCGCTAAACAAGCAAACTACCACTTGAATGCGAAATGTCCTGAGAGCTACACGTTTCCTCTTAAAGACAGCCCATTCTGTGAACTAAGATTTTTTTCTATTTTACGCGACCCACCTCATGACCATTATTTTTCACAGCTAACATGCAAATCACAGGACTTTTTGCATTCGAATCTTTTCCTAGCATCGACCATCCGCCAGGATCTCCCAACTTTTTGCGTATGGGTTCGGCTGTTGTTTGAGGAATGTTGTCTTCTTTATGAATGTCTTCGAATGCCGGTCGAGCCGATTATCGTTGAAGTTAGGAGGCTTTCCCACCTGGACGGCAAAAGCAAACCAATCCCATGCAAATCTGCTACCAAGTTCCCGACCTCTGAGGGATGAGAAGGTTGGTAAACCTGGGCGGGCTCAAACCCCAGTTGATTATTTTGCAGTAGCTTCTATCATTGCTTCCACTCTCTTAATTCTATTTCCGAATATTGCCACTGCTACTATCTTCATGAATGTTACTATTCACCTTAACTACTGTCACCGTTCACTTTCAAAACTATACAACCACCTGTACGCTTACTCAACACTGCTCCCACCATATCCCTAATTCTCTTGTCTTTTTAAACGCTATAGATTCTAATGAATCTCTCACCTTAATGGTGTTCGTTGAAAGTAAATGAAAGAAAGAAAGCGAATGATGCATTAATTTGGATAATGAATGAACGCTATTAAATTTTATTCAAATCCCTGACAGTGCTGATATCAATGTCAAGAAAAAGAGAATACAAAAAAAACACTACACATAGTACTCTGCCTTTCTAGGCGTTGTCGGCAGGTTTTCGTCAGACTAGACTTATCTAGCACTGAGATGTAATGAAAGCTAACAGAAAGAGAACTAGAGGTACTACAGAAGGGCTTTAATTCCAGCGATCCGTATTGTTGTTCACGAACGGCTAGTGACAACGTTGAAGTATGGCGCGCTATACCATTAAGACAAAAGAGGTGATACTCAGACCGTGTATGCATCCTTCAGTCATTCTACCTTACCGGTTTCCTTTTTCGCCCTTCTTATCATTAAGCGTATTAGTGCTGGGTGAGATTCCAACATTAAAAGATCCACAACAGATGTGCATGCCACCTATGACCCACTTCCCTTCTCATTACAATTAACTCTAGGAGCCGTTCAAAAACAACTTATCTCTTGCCTAAGATTTCAAAACTATTCTCCACACGGTTGTCATTTTTGAATGAAGAGAAAATGAAAAGTGAAAAGTGACATCGTAGATCTACCGTAGTCTACAATTTCTCAGGATTCTAGATAAAATACTGATTAAATGAACGAAACCACTCGCAGTTCGAGGTGAGAAAAGCAAACACAGGAACGGAAAAAAGAATTTGTACACGATGTGAATGAGTGAATGAGTCACAATGCCATGCAAATAGGACAAGGAAGAGCCACATTGTGTACGAGCTGTGTTTGCTGAGCAAGCAGAAACATGTGGGCATGCGAAGGTCCGTGACGACGATTCATTGTTTTATTGCCGCCTCGAAGACGACGGAGACGGTGCCATCAAAATAGCTTAGACATATATAATAGTGAAAACGAAGACGGAAACCACTAACAGCAATATAACGATATCAAGAAACCTTCGCACCCTAAGCGATCCCTCTGAACACAACACAGAGAGAGAACATGTATTGAAAGCCTCTTTATGGCGATCATCACATATGAATATGAGGTGCTGAATAAGTCGACAGACACTAAGAAAATGTGTAAAAGTAAAGAACGAGAAACAAAGAGAGATAGAGATATGAGAAGCAAGGAAATATTGGCTGCGTTAATTCCGGTGGGATATCACGTAAGATGTCGTGCAATCGTCACTCAGCGTTTTACTAAAGCATCCAATTCCACCATACCTTTCCGGACTAAGCTACCGTTTAAAAGAAGAAATTGAGATACACCAAACATTCAAACAAGAAGTGGAACTCCACATACACATTCACACGTAACCGCATACGTACAAACATACACGTATACTTAAAAGTCGAACCACTGGTACAATAGAACGTGTTAGGCTCTCAGTGTTCAATTACGCTATTTGGAGTTGCCTAGGTGTAACTAACACTAAAACTTATGTAATGAACAAACAACAGAGAAAGAGAACAAAAAAGAGTTCAGGATTTACTACTACTAGGCTTATGCCACTTTTCTTCGGAAGGCGATTCCTCGCTGCCTTGCCTTTTTAAAGAAGAAGTCGATCCTCCTAGCGAATAGTGAGTATCGTCTCTTCTACTGTGTACATTTGACCTGAAACATGTGGAGCTTGTGATAACTAAAAGCTTAAGAGGAGGAGTAGGAGCTAAAGAGGAGGTAAGCTAACCAAAAATGACGATCTATAAGCACCTACTAAGAGACACTGGACATTTAATGACAGACAGTAATTTTGGACACTAAAAGACACGTTCGTCACTGGACTTGCATTTTTGGATATTAGAAACTAGATGAACGCAGCACTTGGTAATGTATCAACATTGAAACTGAAAAGACGAGATAGAATAAAAGCAATAACTCACTGCATTTCCAAAAAATAAAAATGATTATGGAAACACACCGAGCATGGCTTGCACTTGGTCTCAACACATCATTGTCATCGACTACGTACTCTGGAAGAGAGTAGAAAGACGATGCATGGGAAAGCGGATGATTCTCTGCTGGTGATTCAGTAGGATCAATAAGCTCAAGAGCGGCTCGTACCTCTTGCTCCTAGAATGGATCTACTGGATTGGTAGGTTAAAAAACAGAGGAAAAAAAAGAAGGAAGAGCAGAAACTGGCGTGAAAAGATGGTCGGTAATACACTGATCGAGGACTTACATGTCTACGTATTGCTTCGGGACTAGAGGTTGTTTGTTGGAACGACTCCAGAAGATTATTCAAGTACTTTTGTTTCACTTTATACTGCCTCATCAATTTAAGTCTGTGTTGTAAACTGAACGCTTTCATCCGATTCACCTGAACGTATACATACTTGGAACTCGACACTCGTAATTTGCTGCCATCAGATCTTAACCAAGCAATTTGTAGGAACAATTTCTACGATTGAACTTGGCAGAGGTAACACATCCTTTTATAACATCTAAAATCAACCTCTAGAACAACCTATTGTTTTATCATCATAAGGCAATTCTTAGCACTGTTGAAGAGCAATGGAACGCCTATGCAAAGTGATATACGCCATTCCTTTTATAATAAGGCGTTAAAAATTTTAACAGTGTACCTGCCGTTCATAACTCTCCCATAACTGTTCCGCACGTCGTGATCCATATTCTCTTACGCGGTGCATCTGCTGGTTGTAATTCTCTCGAATGTTCTCCAAATGGGTAGACATGTTCTCCATTTGAGCAGCACGATAGTCTCGAAACTTTTCTGCCTGTGAGCTGTACGAATTTCGAAGCTGCTCCACCTTGAAATGAATGCACGAGATGAAAGGTATAAAGCATGGGAATGTATTACATACGTAATGCAGCACATAGAAACTAAATGGTACAAAGTGAATTCGCTCCTAATAAACTAATACAACACATTAATATACTACACAATGATTCACCTGGGCGTGGTAGTTCTCTCGAACTAAGTTCAACTTCCGTGTGTACTTCTCATGTAAACTTTCCATTTTCCATGTACGATACTTTTCCATTGCCTCAACCATCTTTCGCACTCGAGACAGACGTTCCGCACTGAAATAACTATAGCTTTGACAGCTGGATTACAACAACAACATGTAGGATATCAACTCATACCGTAGGCCTTACAATACTAATGAATTCCATAGACCTAAAATCTCTTATCAAATGCATAAATTACATTAATGGAAATTGGCACCACAAAATTCTTTGAGACTGCGGCCTGCCTGATCTTCATCTTCAGTGCACCTTTTACGTCTTACATTTTCAAGGATTTTTTCATTTCTTCAAATGCCTTAATATACGAGTGGTATTTTTCTGAATTGATGGTTGGAAGATAATTAGAAAAGGAGAACAAACCGTTGAATCCACCAAAGTATGCTCTTCCTAGTCAAAATCCACGTTATGTTCAGCAGAAAAGAAAACGAGCAGACAAGCACGGCGGTAGCAATTCCTCCCCAAAATACGCTGTTGAACATGTCAAGGGAATACCAACTCGAATAATCAAGCCTATGGGAATAAAATAAACAACTGCGAAAACAAATGGTTAAGAAACAATGAAGTAGCGGACCGAAAACGAATGATCCTGTGGATAGAATGCGACTCCTTCCGAGCGATACAAACATAGCGTTCAACCATAGAACGATTCACGTTATGGAGTTGTAATGCACCTCCACTCAGAACTGTGCAACTGAAAAACACTAAAGGCTAGTTTGCAATAGGTTTCTTTCTTCTTCGCTGTAGAAATACCTATTTGTAGATTACGTGTTATATTTTCTATTATTTCTGCAAAGGGCGCATGTGGCGCAGTGGTCGGGGGCGTCCTGCAACACACACGTGGGATCCACCCAGAGGCCGTGGCTCACAAAAGCCTTCCATCCGTCTGGGGTCGGTGAATTGGTACCAGACTCGTCTGGAAGGGTAGCACTAAAGCTACCGTGAGACATTGTAAAAGCAGGATATACATTCAATCACTAAAAATGTTTAATGAAGCCGAATGCACGAAGCATCCCTCAGGGATTTATCAATGCCGAGAGCTTTAGCTTTTAGCTTTATTATTTCTGTATCCACAACGATGCTGATATATTTGCAAAACTCCGGACCGCATGTGTCTGTGGGAGGATCGAACCAGATACTACCCTTTCCGAGAGCTAACTTGCTCACTATCACACCATACGGGTCCTTCGTTTCAGCTTTCTCTCAGCAGCAACATTTCTGCATCCATTTTTTACTTCCATTTTGTTCTTTTCCATATATCTGTGCAAGTTTAATAATCATCAGAAACGAAGTTTACTTCCCTTGAGTTAGCGCTTTGTTCGATCCTACCTTGGTTTAGGTTCCTATAGGATTATGCTGTGTACGATTTTATCACGGATCGCAGCAGTCATCGTTAATTTGTGATTTCAGTTACTCTTCATGATACTAACAGGGATTAGAAACTCAAGTGATAACGAGTTAAAGAGAGCTAGCATTAGCGCTCTATAAGGACTAAGCGATTGTCAATTGTTTATATTTTAACACATAACGCTCGACATGAACTACTTTTGCTTCTAACGAAAATAGTGACTACTTCCAAATTTAAGCCAAAGCATCTCAGCTCACAGCAAACTATATATTTGAAATAAAAATCATTAGAATTTATAGAGCATTGTCAACAAGATGCACCTTTTCTTATTCTAGCAATACTAGTCACTTTTTATTTATTGCTTCTTCTTTTTTTTCATGGCAGAGTATGGTGTGAAAAGCAACCGAAGTGGTGCTGTTATTTGCAAAACTCCAGACCGGGGGTATCAGCGGCGGGGATCGAACCCGTTCCTTTCTTGGGGACTAACGTGTTCAACGGCGCTTCGCCTTTCTCTCAGCTGTGTTATATCAGTAGTATTCTACCTCTTGACGTCAAAACTGGATTGGCATTTTGTTTCTCTTACCGTCGTCGATGCTCATATTTTAAACATTGGAGCGATTGAACAAGGGAAACTCCGGCCGGCAGAAGACAATGATATTTTTCAATATACTACGTGATGATGCTATGTTTGCCTTGGAAATCACCAAAAATCTGAGATAAAACGATAAAATTAGATGGACAAATAGACAATATTTAAGATGAAAACAAATTTAAAGACTATTTTTGGATAAATTTGAGGTCTTAAAATTACGGCTATTTCCAAAAACAGTCAGTACCAACTGCCAAGTGTTAAAGAAAATGATAAACGGCTAAGCAATACTTCGTTTTACCACCACATTCGTACATTATTTACATAATAAACAACCCAGATGACAAACGATAAGGGACAAAGTGTTTGGTATTCGTCGATTCCTTCGAGATATACCATACATTCGAGTGCGTTAAACATCACAGAGGTGCTTGAATGCATATTTAGCCTATGCAATGAGTTGATTTATCAAGAGAATGTCTTTATCCTACCATGCATGTCTCGTCCAGGTGTGGATTACAAGGCACCCCTAACCACTGCACCATACGCGCTTTCAATTTAGGCCAGCTATAATGGATATATTAACTAGATTCTTTTGTGCTACAATAGACGAAAATTCATCAACCGAAACTAAAAACCGTGGTGGTTAGAAGGCATTTCAACGCTAATCAAAACTCACCATGGCGTATTTGACTCCATAGGACTTGCGGAACGAGGATCGAAGACACCGAGAAAGGTAACAGGGCGGTATAACCACCTAAACAGACTCAAAACAAAGATCAACGTAATACGTATGTCATAGAAGAGAGAAAGAACTTCTGATTCCACGAACCATTCTATGGTTGGTTCAACAGCACCATAGGTAGTGCACGGTAGAATTGCTGACTGACCCACTACCGCTCTAACAATTTCTGGATCACGCGATGAAATGCCCAAACTGCAATTTCCTTGTGGGGGTCTGGAAGAATATAGACAATAGTTGTCGATTCTTGAAAGTTGGTTTCGAAAGAGCTCACGATTAGGAAAGTTTACTGGTAAAAACTCACACAGGAGGACATCGTGTTTGATTCCTGATAAGCCTGGCGACTGGTAGTGACCACTGCATCACACAACGCTCACAATCAAAATTTGTTCCGGTCAAATTCAGTGATATAAGTGATGTCCTAGTAGAAAAAGATGGTCATTAGATGAAATTGCCGTGACGTTCCTAAGAGAAGGCGCGTAAAAAATTTAGATACCAACCCAACAAAAAAGGTCTGGGGAAACGAAGCAAGTTGGTTATCGGTAACGTAAAACTCCTTCGTTGTTTTGGGTAGACGACCATTTATAGACTTTAGACGAGCCGAGTTGACCATGGATAACCTAGAATTATGGCCATTAGGGAACTACTCATAAGGCAGCACATTTCAAAATTCACTTCAAGGAACATTAAGATAAAAAATAGAACCGTAATGAAAGCGCGAAAAAGCCTTTTTATTCCAAAATGAATTTTACTTCGTTCAAGCTAAGAAGTCGGTAATGGTACTCTATGTTACCTGCATGACATCCTTAACCGCCAGTTCTCTTCAATGTTTATAGAAGAAATAGACTATAAATCCCTAACTCTATAACTCTAAGAATAGTAAAGAGACCAGTACAACAGTGGAGTTTTTATAAAAAACTGGTAAAAAGTGAAAAATTTTCTTATACGAAGGAATAACCAACCGTTGCAAATTAGGGAGTACCCAGTAATTGAAGTCTACCACTTCTACATTCGTAGAATTCAAGGTTAGCTCTACAAGAGCAGGGGCGTTCAGACGAGGAGCAACAGCAAACTTCGAACCGGATAAATCTAATCGCCTTAGTGTTAAAAATAAAGGAAAAACAGCTTCTGTCAACGGATTGTACGACAAATCTGGAAGTAGTTCTTCATTGACAAATGAGCAACGACGAAACCGAAACAAAGTGTGAAGCACAAAATACTGAAGCTGTTTTTAAAGAATTAGAAAACGTGAAACAAGCTTCTACGGAACTTAGCGAGATAAAAGTACTGAAATTTTAAACAGAATCATTGTTAACTGGAAACCTACTTAGGTTGAGCAAATTTTTATGTATACCAGAGGCTGTACGAAGAATGTTCCATGAGAGATCAACATTGCGTGTGAGTTTATTTAAAGTTCCATTTATCAAAGTAATCTACAATACGAGTGAATCAATTAGAACCACTTTATTATCTTATATAACACTATATACTACTTATCATATACTATTCGGTACAAATTTATGCGTTTGTATCAATGCCACACTAACAGATCTGAATATAAAGGACTTAACAACTATGTGTAAACCAAGAAAAGAGTTTCGAATCTACACTTTTTGCCTATGTCCTTCCAAACTAGTGCTACGGGGGCGGACAGCACGGAGGTAGTGACGCCAGTCATCACGAGCACTGTACTGCTTCGATCCTACCACAGACTCGTCACCCTCTCACCTCTTCGGGTTCAAGAAAGTGATACCAGACTTGTTCGAGAGAAAATCACTGCCTGCAATCCGATTGGGAATGCTCCAGTCCGTCTATCTTTGGACTTCACACAAAAATGATTCGACCAGGATTCTACGACATCCACGATGAAACGAAAATCCTCAAGCAGCAGCTTAAGTCAGATGTAAAAAGATGGAAATCTTGGTGAATAATGGATGTCAGAGAACGAATCGAATGTGAGAAGTGCTGTGATCAGCAGAGTAGATATGAAGACGGGCCGTAAAAAATAAAAAATTAGATCAAGTTTAAAAAACTAGTGCTATCAGGACGGTCCTTTCAACACATGAGGGTTTCTGACACCTGTTGCGATATTAATGTATCAAAAACAAAAAATTCACGTAACTACACTAGGATGCGCAGCGATATTCGTAATCCATTCGTGACCTCAAGCCTATAAAAGGATAAAGGGTAAAGCTCTTAAGGTTGACCAATCCCTGAAGGATGCGCCATGCATTCGACTTCATTAAGCGCCGTTGGAGGTGATTGATTGCACATCCGGCCTTTCCAATGACTCGCGGTGGGTTACCGATGTATCGAGCCAGTGTTGCTATCCTCCTAGACAAATCTGGTACCAGTCTGCCGAAGCCGGATGAATGGAGGGCTGGGCGCGGAGATCGATCCCCTGTGTATGACAGGGCGCCTCCGGCCACTGCGCTACACGCGCCCTCATCACCCCTCAAGACTAACATCGATTGTATTTCTATGCATGTGCTTTCTACCTTCAAGAATTCTTGAAATAAAAAACAGAGAATGCAAAAACTTACACCATTCCTACGTAAGCGCAAAGTGTTCACAGCCAAATTTTCGATGCACTGAGGGAGGTAAGTAAGTTCGTTACCACTTAGCGACAGTTCAACCAGTGACGGCAAATAGCCAGTAATGTTACAAAACTTAAAAATTTAGTATGTGTAACTAAAAACATGACAAGATTTCGATATTGAATAAGCATCAAACCAAAAACTTACTTGATCGGCGTTCATGAACATATTATTGTCGAGGATTAAATGAGTTATCGATGGCAGAGATAGTGAAATCGAAATTGTGTTAGTTTCACTAGCTAAAACAATCAATTGAAAGGTTGCGAAAGATGTTTGCTCACAAGACTGACCGACCGGCTACAAACAACTTCTTCAAGTGTTTGAAAGATGAAAAATCGTTAAGCTTCAAATCCTGCTCTCTCCATCTGCTCAAACGTAGTGAATACAGCGATGGATACTTCTTCAAAAGTTGCGGTAATGACTCAGGACCTTAGTTAGGAACCATTAAGAATCTTTGAATGAAAAAAAGACCATAAATGACTTACAACTTCTGAGTAAAACTTACCGACATTAAAACACTCGATAACAGTTACATCGTGATTAATACACATGCAGCCGAGTACTACTGGACATGGATCGGAAGAAACGTCAACGACAAGAGGAGGAACCGTCCTGGAATTTAAAATGCATAAACTACCCATATTCAGTTCCTTCATTCATAACGACGAAAACGTGTTTTTCTAAACGAATATGGAATTGGGATTACATGATAAAAGGGTAACAAGGAGCACATGTACGCCTTTTGCATGGAAGCAAATACGAGGGGAATTCCGGTATCAACTAGATCTGCGGCGTGATACATCAAGGGATTCATACCCACTCTCCTAGTAAGGTTACCTAAGCTGTGTAGTCCGACATTTCTTGCCGAAGCACAGCTAAAAGTAAATCAACACCACAGTACAATTCAGCGAGCTACTTATGGTTACGTCGCCAGAAGCCATAAGGTTTTTCGGGTGCTGGCAAGTGGGGCTCATGAATGAGTTCAGGTACAACACGCGGATGGAGCTTACTCGTGCCCTTCGAACTAGTTGACGACTACAAGGATTACGGGTCATGTGCAGGCCTTTCCTCCGAGGCACCTATGTAATAAAACAAAACTTTCCTACTACTTGGTAAAGGTGCTCACGAATTATCTGCACTCTACAGGCTACTGGTGATAATAAACTCAGATAAAGCTCACAGCGAAAATCGTACTCACATGGAACTCTGGGAATTTTCATTAGAGATCATTTAACTCATCCCAACGGTGTAACGCCTCATTGTGGCTGGGAGGTGTTTTTGTGTGTCGGCCTACGATGTACAACGGGGGATTCATCCCACTCTCAGGGTCTCCCAAGGTGAGAACGAGTCCAGCGTTTCCACCAAGAAGCCCACTTAAGAATAAACTAAAACCAGGACTCGTTACCGTCCTGGTATCACACCAGTCGCATGGTGGAAAATCTCCCTCTGGTCCACAAAGGCGGCGAATGTGTGTAGTGATGACGACCTGGGCAGACCTTGGCCTGACTGACCTCGGAGCTCCAGGGAACCAAAATGGCGAAACCAGCAAAACTCCGAAAAAATGGAGATTATGCTGGCGCCCGCACAACCACTGAGGACAGGCTATGCAAGTATCCAAGATTATGTAACTGAAAAATGAAGAGAAGACTCACACTCCAGGTTTCAACGATTCTGTCCTACTAAAAATGAATAATAGTAAGCATAATGTGCGATGAAGCAGTAACTGGCATTGTCCATAACTTCTGAGAGCCACCTGCCCTTGACGGAAACAATTAAGCATAACTAAGAAATGGAGCGGCTCACATCACACAGGCAAGTGTGGCTGGAAGAAAAGCTGAAACATGGCTAAACGGAAGAAAAAGCCCTAAACAGGAGAAAGCTTCCCAATCAATAAAAGTATTCACGGAACTATGAAATTACATCACTTTGTAAAATATTTAAAGACTGTAACGAAATATTTATTGTCTCAATCGAACTATAAACTTAAGAAAGTCTCATAGCAACCAAATATAACAAAGATATTTTAACTGTAGCTCTATTTCTTCTTCCTATAGTCGATTTTCTGATTTTCCGTCCGATATCGTTTTATATAAAACCATGAGCCCACTTCCTTCTTTTCCTTCAATCTGTACATATCCATGTCATCATTCCAATATCTGAACATCAACTAGACTTTGTGAAAGCTTAAAAACAAGAAGATGTAAGGTGATAGAACCTGTTGAATCGCTTATACCCTGCTCTATCAAACTCTGGAATTGTTTTATCAGGGAAGAGCCCAGCCCAATGAGCCTGCATGACGCATCTCAAATAGCGGCAATGAATAAAAAAAAACTACATGAACAAAGAACAAACAAGTTGATAGAAGCAATAAGCAACCTTTCTAGTCGTAACTGCTGCTTTTTGCATAGTCCAGTGAGTTGACGTGGGAGCACGGTGCCGTCTTCACGCATGAATTGCTCCAGAATAAGAACGTCACTAGAAGAAAAACTAACGGACATTGGACAACCTGTTATCACTACGGCAAGAGAAAGAGAAAATGACTCATAATGGTCATTTGTGCATAACACCGCAAGCTGTTTTAACTTTTACTTATAGCCTTATCTTTTTTCATGGCGGGATACGATGTGAAACAGAACTATAAGGATGATGAAATATGATTAGAACTCAAAACCTCAGATGGGCTCTGCACCAGCGATTACCATTGTCGAGAGCTCACGTGCTATCCATCACACCTACCGGGAGCATAGCTCCTCGTTTCCTTTGGCCAGTTTTTTTACCCTAACGATGCTATCAGCATCATCCGTAAACAGGAGTGATCTGAGGAAAACAAATCGACATTGAACCAGTTAAGCCGAAGCTGTATTCGAAATCACAAGCTTAACACTTATGGCTGCAAATTAACGTCGTACCTTGCGATGTAAAAAGAATAGACAATAAATACACTTAAAAGTTAAAAGTCGGCTGCATCTTCAGCCTAACTGGGTTCAATGCCGATTTGTTCTCCCCAGACCATTCCCACTGACGGGTGATTGCTGATAGCACCAACAGTAAAAAAAATAGCCGAAAGGCAGTGCGAGAGCTTCGATTGATGTGGTGGATAGTAAGGGAGCCTCCGATAATGGTGATCGCAGGTTCGAAGCACACCAGAGGTCCCGAGTTCTACTCATGTCTCAGAGTCCATCTCATTGTAAACTTTGTCTTATAATCAAACCTGTATGATAACTTCACAGGAATATTGCATGTGCAGAGGGCACAATTCGTGTTGGAAGGAGGAGGTTCTGGAACTTCTTCCATTGCCACGTACGTGGTATCATTGTCGACTTTCTCGACAACTGCAACAATATGGTACTCACACATTCAATAAACAGTACGAGAACTCAGAATAAGTAAAGTACTAAACAAAGTACAAGTACTACTAAACCGACGCTCATTTGCTTTGCTGGAAGAAAACGATATCTTAACAGCTCACATTTCCACTTATACCTAGGTGTACATGACGAAATCTGGCGCACACCGCAGAATAATTGGTCCCTGACTGCTTGAAAGGCTTGAAAGATGAGAGGTACGACGGACATCGCAATATTGTACTAGATTCCTTTGGAAAGCAGCAGTATCAATATGGTAGCAGAATTTGCATTACTAAAAGAAACAAAGGTAAGTCATATTTCAAAGTAAGCAGGTAGTAAATAGGTAGTAAAAAGTCATTTTCCTTTATAAAATCCATATTTTCTCCATAAAGAACAACGCAATAAAAAGATACTTCGAGAATAACTGATAAGATTAAAGCGACTAACCTCATTCAAATAGGCGACGATGGAGCGCAGTGAAGAGGGCTGGCTGATGGAGGCAATCAATTTCACTGGGTTCTGAGACCAGAAAACAACTTCCTATAAAGGTGGATGATGCGAAAACATTTTTAATCTATGAAGTGTGATGCGAGTGTGAAGGCAGTCTCTTCCTAGAAGACAGGAACAATACTTGATCGAACTAATATCCGACTTCCTCCCAACTGTTTACCGCCTCATCGTTGCTAGGGGTGTTCCTGGGTGTCGGACTGGGATGTACAAAGCGACATTCATCCCATGGCAGGGTCTCACAAGCTGAGGGGAGTCTGGAATTTCTATCAAGAAGCCTAACTAGGAGTAAATCAATACCAGGATCCACCACCGTCCTGGCATCAAAGTCGCCTGGTGGTAAACCTTCTCCTTATCCACAAGGGACACAACTGCCTGTAGTGGTGAAGACCTAGGGCAAACTTTGGCCTCGTGATTTCAGGAACAACAATGGCTTAACTAGCAAATTTCCGAAAAATGGAGATTATGCTGGGGCCCGTGCAACCAGTGCAGACGGACCATCCAAGTATCAAGTAGGTATCAAGTATCCGACTTACTAGTACCATTCAAAATACCACGCGCTACAGCCAATGACTGCTCGCCGTAAAGTTTCGACCGCCGTTTTGACGTTTCGTTGGAATTAGCGTTGAACAACAAGAACTCCTCAGGACATCTGATTTTGCTGATACAGAGAAGTCTAGTTAGATCAGGTTCTCTGTGTTGTTGTCGATTGATTATCGATTTTTTGAGCGTTATTAGGTCTTACTGGTTTCTGTTTGTTTCTTCTAGATGGATCTCTGATAGTTTTTGAGTAATAGAGGGGAAATGATGCAGTATGTAATTTCCTGACAATATAGAGAATGTGTTAACAAGCTTTGGGATTCTTATAAATGTTGTTTTTCGCATCATATTCTGTTCTGTTTACGGACCCGATGAAGAGTTCAGAGATTACAAATAATGAGATGATCGATATGTCTGCGCTACGCGTCTCTATATTGATATCCATTTCGTTTTTACACTCATCGAGTGTGTATGCGAGAACTTTATGATAAAGTTGAATAACAGAATTCAATGCACCTGGCTGCTAATTTGACGTTATACATGTAACATTGAGCTTGTGTAGCGCAGGTTAGAGGTGACCTACAGTGCACTTGGGTTCGATCCCACGTCCTGGACTCACCAAGCTTTTCATCCTTCTTGGATTGCCGAATTGGTGCCAAGTCTGCCTGGTAGAATAGCAACACTGACTTGATACATCGGTAGGCCATCGCGAGTCATTGTTTAGGGCAGATATGCATTCAGTCACCTTTTACAATCCATAATCAAGTTGAATGCATAGCGCATGTCTCAGGGATTGATCAACGCATGGAGCTCCATCCGTTATGTGTAACAATAGAAGAGGTAAAAGGATAAAGTTTTTATCGTTGATCAGTCTCTGAGGGATGTGCCATGGATTCGACTTGATCATGCATCGTTAGACGTCAGTGAGTTGATATCTGGCCTGTACATTGACTAGCTGTGACGTATCAATGTATCATATCTGTCTGTTGCTGTGCTCTCAAACAGGTATTGTAGCACTTCATCGACCCCGGAGGGATGGAGTGCATAGTGACCCAGGGTGCTGGATCGAATCAGGGACCACATGTATTCAAGAGCACCTCTAACCACAGTGTACACGCTCCTCCGATATTTCAGAACAAGTTAGAAAATCTATCTTGGCGTAGTTAACACGGAAGGCGGTAGACAGTGTCAGGGTGGTGCGCCTATACATTAATTCCTTAGAGCTTGGGCAACTGCGAGGAAAAATTATATTCATTGTGTCGTTTTCTTGTTCAGCAATCGCGATGTTTTTAAGCAGCATACATTGGAAGTCACGAAAAAGCGGCTCTGAAGAAGGCGATACTGCCGAAACGTCAGCTAGTGTTGTATTGTATTATGTTTCTCTATGGAAGTAAATGTATGCTGTTTAAAACCTCGCGATTGTTGAACAAGAAAACGACACATTCATATTCCAATGCCGAGGTTAGTAGAAAGTCGATCCTGGGAACTATATTCATTGTTTTATCATTGATTGTTATGAATGGATGAATGAGGAGATAGATGCTAGTAAATACCTTTCAGAAGCGCCACAGCTTTTATCCAGTTTGCTATTCGGCGCTGAAGCGAAAGAATGAGAAATCTAATCCTTGGTCCAGTAACATAAAATCCACGGAAGTCGATAGACAGCCGAGGACCTCCATACCTCACGCGCCAATGTGCTAATGCGAATCGGCCCCGAGAAATTCGAAGAACACAACCACTGAAATAGATTTATCAGGCTAATGAAGAGTAAAACGAAGCAAGTTGGAACTCATGTGAAAATATGGAAAGGCTGGAGTACCATTAGAAATACAAAACTGGTTACTTTCTTCGATTATTAAGCTAACGCGAGATTCGTGTCCGAACGAACCTCATGTCAGCTTAATACCTCAAGAAGGTATTGATTACTTCTGCTGAGGTTGAATGAAAGTCGGTTTTAAGGTACATGACTAGTTAGTTTTATCGCCTCATGATTACTAAATGAATCTGCTACTAGCTACTAGCTGAGAAAAAGGCGAAACGAAGGACCCGAATGGTTTGGTTTTGAACACGTTAGCCCTGGAAAGGGTAATAGTGTGTTTGATCCCGACCGCAGACACCTGCGGTACGGAGTTTTGCAAATGTCTCAGCATTATTATTGTTGGAATCTGCTATTGTTGTTGTGCAGCTGATAAACCCTCCTAGGATAACCCAAAACGTCCCAGAGTGTAATGTTAGAATCTGTTCTCAGGTATAATGTAGTACTTTTTACTCACTGCCTATTCCTTCTTCACGGCAGGATATTATGCGAAATGCAACCACCACGATGCGGAGGTATTTGCAAAACTCTGGACCTCTGGTGTCTGCGGTGGAGAAGGAACGCGCTGTTACCCCTTAACGGTGCTGTCGCGTGCACCACCACACCATGTGGATCCTTCGTTTCGCCCTACTCTGTGTTCTCAGAGTTTGTATATATTGTACGCATAGTCTAACTTTATAAGATATACATTATTCCTGTATGTAAGCTTATCATTCTCTATGTACTTTAGTCTGTATACTGTAAGAGATGTGAGGGGTTGGAAATAAGGGTTCTCGTTATTGTTTCTATGCTAATGACATCATTACTGCATGCTACTGGCGAAACATATCATATATTTCCTTCTTCTATGTGTTTTCAGAGATGAAGGACGTTCCTGTGCAGCACTGGAATATGGGCATTGGACCAATTACATGCCATGCATGGAACAAGGATCGAACTCGTTCGTCATCGTTCTATGCGGTCTCGATCGAAGCCCATTGCTCTATTTGTTCTGATTTCAGAGGTTGCCGTATCAGCTTCGAGCAACGAGATTCATATTTTTGCATGGCGAAATGGTGAATGGGTGAACACGTTCACTCTAAGCGAACATGACCTTCCAGTGACAGGGATTGACTGGGCTCCCAATACGAATCGTATTGTATCGTGTTCAAGGGACAAGAATGCATTTGTCTGGACTTTCGACAATAGCGTCTGGAAACCAGAACTTGTGCTGGTACGGATCTCTTATATCAGCTGAAGATGTTCAGTACTGCATTTCGTAGTCCTGTAGTGTATACGAACTTCTTCCGATCTGTTAGTACGTTATGTACCTGAAGGTTCGGTTTCAACGTGCTGCGACGTGTGTCAAATGGTCTCCTGAAGAGAATAAGATAGCTGTTGGCAGTGGATCGAAATTGGTATCGGTTTGTTACTACGAACGCGAAAATGACTGGTGAGCTGTGATGTTTTGTACTACCAGAGGTTCTTCTCCAATATTTCTTCATTTTAGGTGGGTTGCAAAGCAAATCCGAAAACCCATTCGTTCAACTGTTAAATGTATCGACTGGCATCCTAACAATGTACTTATTGCTGTCGGTGCTTGTGATTTCCGTGCAAGAGTTTTTTCGGCATGGGTGAAGGAGGTATTCTGACCTTGTAGTTTTGAGGGTACCGATTTAAGTCTGTAGATACAAAGCAGATGTCTTCTGCTTGCTAAGAAGTTTTTCTATAGAAAGGTATCCATAGTGGTCACTCAGTTCATAAAGGCGCCGTTGTTTTGCAAGATTCTCCGTGAAAACTTAATTTATAGAACTTTTTGGGATCATTTAACATTTAAATAACATTATCATCTTGATATTGGCGTGTTTAGGTCGATGAGAAACCGTCCCCGAATCCATGGGGTTCGAAGATGCCATTCGGTCAGCTTATGGCGGAGTTTCGGATTTCCGGTTGGGTTCATCACGTTTCGTTCTCCCCATCAGGATGTAGGCTGGCTTTTGTTGCTCATGATTCTTCTGTTTCCTATGTGGACGCTAATCAGGTTTTGTTACCTTAATGATTTGTGACTCAGTTGTTATGTCCACTTGAAACCTACAAGTTTAGGATAATACTGTCGCTCACACTCTCCGAACCAAATGCCTTCCATTCACGTCGGCAGAGTGGGTTACCGAAAACAGCATTGTAGCTGCTGTAAGTCTTCTAGGTGCAACAGCAATTTCGTCAACGTTTCCCAAGTAATTTAAGTTCAAGGGTCATGACTGTTCTCCTATTCTCTTCACTATAACTGGAGAAGGTTTAAAAGAAGTTTGCAAATTAGATGTTCCTCCTGAGCAGCGAACTGCTTCTGTTAACACAGCACTTCAGATGTTCCGTAATATTGACAGGTATCATGTTTTTATCACCTGGGTAATCCATTTATCCTCGGTGTATTCCAGAGTTTCTTACTGAGTTTATCTTACTCGGAGAGCGCCATATACTTCATTGTGGTCTTCATCTTATACGTCGAACATCGCGTGGTGCCACATAACGGTTCTGGCCTGTCTGATTCCCGATATCTTGCTAGAAGGTTCCCTGGTTTCTTTTTAGCGAATGCCTGCTCTCTTTTAGGTTGTTCCATAAATTCACCATAACCACTTCAATGTAGAAGTCTTTGACCTCTTTGATTTGGCTTGTGTGGCTACCGAACCATATGTTGGATAAGGAATAACGGTGACCTTGAAAAATTGGGCGCAGAGCCACTTTTTTTGTATTTCTTTGGTTCGAGCAAGATGGTTTATCTCGTTCTCTCCACAACCTGGTTACACTCACATGCTGCCTTCGTATTTCTTCATCCTGTTAGCGTGAGTGAAAAATTTCCAACACATATATTAGTCATGAGCACCATTTTCCTCAGACTTAACGGGAGACCAGTTTTCTACACACTCTCTAGGAACGTCCATTTCGGCTGGATAATGTTTGATCTCAGCGGAACAATAACAATGATACTGAGATATTTGCAAAACTCCGGACCACAGGTGTCTGCGGTGGAGAACGAACGCGCTATCATCCTTTCCGGAAGCTAACGCGTTCATCACCGCACCATGCGGGTCCTTCGTTTCGCCTGTCTCTCACCTAGTTCTATCGATGAGTACCATCACCAATCATCCGTCAACGGGATTGATCTAGGGAGCCCAGATCGGCAACGAACCCAATTAAGCTGAGTCTGTAGTCGAAATCACAATGTTAACTTTTTATTTACTACTTTTTGTAATTTCCATGGCAGGGTATTGCGTGTGAAGCAACCTAGCTGAGAGGCAGGCGAAACGAAGGACCCCATGGTGCGGTGGTGAACGTGTTACTCCCGCAAGGGTGATAACGCGTTCGTTCTCCACAGTAGACACCCGTGGTCCGGAGTTTTGCAGATATTTGAGCATCATTGTGGTTGTTTCACACGCAATAGTCTGCCAAGAAAATTATAACAGTCAGTAAATAAAAAGTTAACATTGTAATTTCGACTACAGCCTCACCTTCACTGGGTTCGTAGCTGATTTGGGCTCCTTAGATCAATCCCATTGATGGGTGATTGCCGATGGCGCTGGTCGATATTGACGAAAACACTAACTATCCCAACTGATCTACTATCATATATTTCAAGGATTTCGAAGAACGTTCTCTGATGTTATAGACGGTGTTTGTTGGCTGATTTTTCGTCTCCATTAGTCGGATTACGTCGTATTCAATCCATTTATATCAGTATGTTAGCGTTAATCAACCTATGTCGCACAAGTGTACAATCTTTTTTGGTTAGTGTCCCTACCTTCGCTCCTCCCCTTCAGGACAACTCATGTGGCCTAGCAGCTCGTCGATTCAAAACCACTTAAATCTTCGTGTTATGTTTTAACACCGTATTTTATTGGTGACAACATTTATGTAATCTAGTCCAGTTGGTTTTGCTACTTTCCAGAAATGCAGCTTCTGAACAAGTTGACGTAAAGTTGAAAACTCTTCATCAGAACATGATCACGTAAGCTGTTGACTTATTGAGAGCTATTTTTCTTGAAAGTGTTATATATGTTTTAATACCGCTGTTTTAGACAGATTTTACCGCATTCTGGAAGCAAGAACAATGTGATCAAGTTTACCACTTGTGGCACCGATGGCTTGATTGCTGTCTGGGATCTTAAGGTATCACATAGCTTTATCAAATTTTTATGTTCATTTATGTTTATGTAGTGAGGAATCAGGGGCGCATATGGCGCAATGGTTGGAGGCGCCACTGCGACACACGCGTGGGATCAATCTCTGCGCCCATGGCCCACCAAGCCTTCCATCCCTCGGGTCGGCAAATTGGTAACAGACTTGTCTGAGAAGATAGCAGCACTGGCTCGATACATCGGCAAACCACGGCGAGTCATTGTAAAGGCCAGATATGCGTTCAACCACCTCCAGCGGTACTTAATGAAGTCGAATGCATGGCGCATCCCTCAGGGATTGATCAACGCCGAGAGCTTTATCCTTTTAGTGAGGAATAACAGTTTGTTACACACTGCTCTTTCGGTAAATCCTACTTGACACTTCAGAGTACTGATAGAGTACTGATTCGAATACTTAAAGGAATATTAGAGCTTCCTTTCTTCGATCCATTGTTTTTCAACAGAAATCCGTGGAGTTGGTGGGATTTGTGTGCCAGTTTTATTGCCACTTCAAAATTTGAGATCTTCTTACCTCATTGACGTATTCAGTGCCGATAATTGAGCGTGATTTCCCGTAGAATCGTGAGATATCAATGCTATGGCGTTCTAATATCATCGCCTTAGTTATTTGTCAACCTGGAGGGTGGACCGAAGGGACGTGTGTTGCCCAGATTTGGGTTGTCATGAAGTACAGCGATTCTTCTGATACTTGAAACTGCTGAGAATCAAGAAACGATCGCACGAGGACGGTTTTAAGTTTTTTGTATTCCGTTTTGTCTATGTTTGCCACACTACCTCCGAATCCATTATTTCTATTCTTTGATCACGCCGTGAATATAGCTCTATTTTTAAGGATGCGGTCGAGTACTGCATGGTGAGTGACGCGCTCTTTAATGTTCCTAATGCAGCATGGTATTTTCCTTGACTTACGATCAGAAAGGATTAGTGTTTCTAATATGAGTTATTTCAAAAGCACTACAAAGCATGGGTGTGTTGTTAAGGAGTGAGTAATTAACAGGATGTGATCTGTTGAGGTAATGATATGTTTCAGAACAACACGGCAGTTGCCCACTAATGATAGCCCGATTCCGAGGCACAAGAATCAGTGTCAGTGGATGGATGACCCGCAGTCGAACGTCACCAAGTCGCTTTTACTTTACTCCTGTATTGGACCATTCTGACAACCGCCTAACATGATCGTATAACAATGTACTTACAGTGTTTCATGAGCTTCGTATTGTTGAGGAGAAAGACGGAAATAAATTATTATTTATTACTGACCATATTGATATCAGTGAAAAGTTTTGAGAAATTTGGACGATACGCGATAAAGCGCAATCCTCTGCAAGTGAACTCTTTCGTCATCCAAATAGAAGAGCATCATGACATGCTATGATTGGTTACGACGTTGTTCACAAAAGATGCCTATTATAACAGTCCCGACAGATCATCCATTTTTAAGCGTCATTTGTGCTTGTGAGGTATCTGTCGGATCCAGCACATTGGGAGTCTCGCAAAGTTTCCAAGGTTACTTATTTGGATACTTGGATGGCCCGTCTTCACCAGTGCGGACCCCGGCAAAACCCTATATTATTTCGGTTTGCTGATTTAGTTATTGTGGCTCGGAATGGCGATGTCAGCCTGGCCAAAGTCTGTGCCAGGTCGTTACCACCACAGGCAGTCGCAGCCTTTGTGGTCTAGAGGGAAATTATCCGCCATGCGACTAGGTTGATACTACGGTGGCAGATCGCGGTATTGGCTTACTCTTAGTTAGGTTTCGTGATGGAAACGCCGGACTCCTTTTCAACTTGGGAGACCCTGCTGGGGGAATAAATCCTCTCGGTGTGCATCGCAGCCCTACATCCAAGAACACCCCAGCCACGATGAGGTGGTTTGTTTGGCGTGAAGATTTAATTGCTCGACTAGGATATGTGAATGCGGCAGGAATGTTTACGACAAAGACAGCGTTGTTGAAGTATGACGAAAACACGGTTGAGTGAATGTTTTCATGAGATTTGTGAGCCTAGTTTATAAGGTCGTGTTTTCCAAGTTTGAACCCCTGAATGAGGTGGATCCGCACCTGTCACAGGTTCTATGCCCAGGTTCATAATTTGCACTGACCTTATTTTGATACTCATGGTAATAAAAGGATAAAGCCCTTAACGTTGACCATTTCCTGTGGGTTGCAGCATGCATTCGACTTCATTAACCATCGTTAAAGGCGACTAAATGTATATCTGGGTTTTACAAAGACTCGCGGTAGCCCGACGATGTATCCAGTCAGTGTTGCTGTCCGCTTGTTGGCCCTGGGGCGCGGGGATCGATCCCACGTGTACTGCAGGGCGCCTCCGACTACCGCACTACACGCGGCCTTACGGTAACACCCAGGTTATATTGTTTTTGTTCATCGAATTACCGACCATTTAAGAATCGCCCAAAGTCGCCTGGCCAGATATTTGCAAAACGACAGGATCTGAGATGTTAGCGGGCCAGGTCTTTAGAGTGTGTAAGTTTACGTAGCGCTACAGAAGTGGAGTATTACAGTAGTACGTGATTTAAAAGTTTTGTAATCATTATTGCTGCTAGTTAGGTAATGCTTATTTCCCAGTGTTGTTTTGTGTAAGTTATATACAAGTTAAGGTGTATTTTATTTCACGTTATTATTCTTGTCATATTTTTTGAGGTACCTCTTCCACGTTTGAATTGTGATAACTGGTTTTCTTACCGTTCGTTTTCATCACTTTTATCTCACTTTTATCTTCGAGTTCTTGAGGTATTGTTTGAAATGTTTGTTCATAGTTTCGTTAGGTTTTAAATATTAGCAAGTTGCCTTTTGCGTTATGTTTTTTGCGGTTGGTTTCTTTTCTGTGAATATTTCTACGAATCTGTTAGTTTCTCATACCATCACAGCCAGGTTCTTCACCTGTGCTCTTTGCAATTAATATGATATCCTTTCCTGTTTCTGGTTTCTTCCCTCGTTCCGCTTTAGTGGTTATTCTAGGCAACATTTTAAGGTTAATGGAACGGTTTCTGCGACTCGGTGGACTTACCGGTGGAATTGGACAGGTGAGTGAGTTTGGTTGTTTTCTGAATTTTTAAAGGTGTACTTTTTCATGTTGTCTTCTACTTCTATTCTCATTTTACCTTCACCAGAATATTCTTCACGAAATTACTTTTGAGAACTCGATTCCTTAAACAGTTCCTCTTGTTTACAATTATGTTATTGTGACTTTGCAAGGCACCACGAAGACTTTAGGAACAGCATTTACTTATAAATAGGCTTTTACATAGCTATGCAGTTGCATACATACATTCAAAGTCAGTATAAGAATTGTCTCATAATACTATTCTAGGCCATTCGAAGCAAAAATCTATGTTTTAGTTTGGCGGAGGTCCTCCATCAGATTCGAATCAAGTAGACACATCTGAGACTGTATACATATCATCTCTTGCGTTGTTAAAAATGCTGAAACATGGAAGGGCTGGAGTACCGATGGAGGTGTTTCTGTTTTTCTTTATCATTCAGTGTTATGTCATCATTTTGTTTGTCCCTAGATCTGTATTGTCTATATAGGAGCTTCTTATTTTAGGTTATGGGACTTATGCTAGGTGAATTTGTTGATGAATATACCGTCAATGTTATAGACGTTTTCGCAATGCCTCAATCTGGAACTGTAAGCTAACAAATGCATATTCCAGTTTCTGCTGTGCCTATAAAGTTTTTCATTAAGGGAGTATCTGTCGAGGCTGTGGACCCAGTATTTCAAGCCAAGATGCTTGACATGTTGAAGCAAACAGGACGACCAGAAATGGTTGTTGGATGGTAGGTTTTTTCTTCTTTCTATACCAAATTTCCTTGAAACTGCAGTACTTTGTGCCTTTAATAGGGATTAGGTGTTCTTTTGTTTCCCTTCTTAATTTTTTGTAGGCATTCTGGGTAATGTAGTGCTCTGTATGTGTTTACGAACACAGTGATCTTATAGTTCTTCCTCGTCTTACCTTTTTATCACCATTCTGTTAGCTTATCAATGGAAAAATATATGTTGATTGGTCATGCCGTACTTTAAGGAAAGTCGATTTTTGATATATTCGTTCTTTGTTTAGCACAGATCGTTGTTCTGCTGCCATCGATTAGCTCTTCTTTCAGTTTAACAGATTCATTTATCCGTGATTTCTAGGTACCATTCCCATCCAGGTTTCGGTTGTTGGCTTTCTGGAGTTGATGTTAACACGCAGCAGTCGTTTGAGGCTCTTTCAGATAGAGCAGTTGCTGTTGTTGTAGATCCCATTCAATCTGTTAAAGGAAAGGTTTGTGTTACAATTTAATCAAAGGTATGCTTGTTATCATAGGTATGCTATGAGCAGGTACTGAAGTGGAGATTTTAAATTGCATAACTTATTTGGTGTACATTCGATGATGCTTATTTTACCACCTAATATAATGATTGGCTTTGATTGGAGTTGATTTTAGGTCGTCATAGACGCGTTCCGTACCATTAACCCACAAACGATGGCGCTCAATCAAGAACCACGTCAAACTACTAGTAACCTTGGTCATTTACAGAAGCCAAGCATTCAAGTAGGTTTTTGGGCTATGAACTCCTTTTGGTTTGCAGTATTTCTAACGATGTTTAACTTTTTATTTATTGCTTGCTATAACTTTTCACGGAAGGGTATTATATGGGGTATAGCCACAGTGATGCTGAGGTATTTGCAAAATTCCGGACCGGAAGTGTCTGCGGTGGGTATCGAACACGCTGATACACTTTCCAGAGCTTAATGCGTTCATCATCACACCACGCGGTTCCTTCGTTTCACCTTTCTCTCAGCTAGTTTTCTATCTACCAGTGGCATCGGCAGTCATTCGTCAAGGGATTGATCTAAGAACACAAATCGGCATTGAAGCCAGTTCAGCTAAGGCTATAGTCGAAATTACAATGTTAATCTTATTTACTTGAACGCGTTAGCTCCCTGAAAGTATAATAGTGTTCGATCCCACCGCGGTTATCTTCGATTCAGAATTTTGCAAATATCTGAGCATCATTGTGGTTGTTTTCCTAGTTAATTTCATAGTTATCCGGTTTGACATGTTCCTAAGTTGTAAGGCGTTCCTCAGAATCTCTGATTTGTACGTGTTCTAGGCTTTGATACATGGTCTTAACAGGCATTACTACTCAATACCAATTGCATACCGGACGCATGATTTAGAACAAAAGGTAAGTTCAAGGAATCAGAAGAGGATCTCAGTTTTTTTTTCGTGATTTTTCTGTTGTTTGTTCCCTTGGGTGAAAAATAAAAAAACTCAACTTCAAGCAGTTTCCATGTTTTTGCTGGCATTCATTTGATAATTGCTTTTATAAGAAGCAGCTGACTGACTATTGCTTTGGGATATTGTTTCTTGTAAGCGTGTGTGGTATGCAACATGGAGTCAACATTAGTACCGTCTACTTCTTGACGTTAGCTGAGGTTTCGTGCAACCATTCTAGTGTGCTATCGTTTGATCTTCTAGATGTAACAGCAGAGAAGATCATGTGCGCAATTTTTAGGGTTTTTTCTTCTTTTAGAGTTCAAACCACTAGTTTTAACTGCGTTTGCTTCTGTAGAATCTAGACGAGCTTACAATGTTCAATAAGAAAACCTAGCAACCAACGAGCATCCACCCTATTACATCGACCTGGATCGATCGATGCAATAATAGTTAGAATCCTTTTCGTCCTGGAAGAATCTAATTCAAAAATAGCTGTGAACCACAAGAGCCCTCGGATATCCGCGGCGAAGACGTGTGGAAGTCATAGGAATACTATCTCGGTGTTCCACTAAAACCGTATTCACTCAATATGTCACTGTGGAGATAAGACTAGAGATCCTCGTGATACAGTGAATTCCTCACTAGAGTGCGTCAATTCAGTCTTTATGGATGATGGTTATAGGAGAGAGAAAAATCGAAGAACTGCGATCCACACCATATGAGAAAGCGCATGACAGCAGCCGACAGAAATTTATATTGCTTTGTGGTTTTATTTTAAAAGAACTGTTGATAACTTCACATTGTCTGCTTTGCTTCATTTAGTTCACCACCAGTCCATTTTATTTCAGTGTGAAGTATTATTTTGTAATCTCATTGCACTGTTTCAGATGCTACTAAATCTAAACAAGCAGTCTTGGATGGACTCACTAGCCGTACAAAATTATACTTGTTGTAATGAGAAGAACAAAGAGAGCATGCTTCTAATGTTAAAACTTGCGAAACTCTATAAAAAGGTAGTTGATCAACGCTGAAATATCTGTAAAGTGATTCTACAATTTCTGGCTAACCATCTTCTATGATCAGCAATTAGGTACCGGATTTGCCTGGAATGGGAAGAAACATTGAATTTTATGTCAACGGCCCGTTGAAAGTTTTCGTTCAGGGCAAATATGCATTCGTTCACATCTATGGTGCCTAAGGAAGTCGAATATTCCTTTGTTCTTCGATCATTCTAAGTGGACACCAATGAACTTAGCTCACCTGTGTAGTAGCATGTCAGAATTTCTTGGTGGGGTTACGCTCGTTTAAAAGGGGCTACAAGCGTCACATTTTGGTTATCGTGTCAGTGGTCTTTCTTCTACGTTGTCAACGTTAGAAAGAACACATTCATTAACAGGTGTTCTAGCGGTTATCGTTAAGAAGTGTTTGTCCGGATCATCACATTTAGACGTCATGACGTAATGAGCGTTTGAGAACTTTGATCATCTACTTAGTTGGGGATTTCGTTTCATATTCTTCTTCTTATGTGATACGGGGTGTTCGTGGTATCACTCTGTAGATATCGAAATCCGTAGCTCTAAAAAGCCGACCACTTCCTCCTACGTAGCTTTGAAACTAAGTTGCTTCTCAAGTTGGCTTTCAGACCCCTATGTACATGGTTCGACCATTAAAAAGTATTCGTTCCGTTGGGCTTTAATGATGAGTCAGAAACGGATCCATTTCCTGTGAATATTGTTTCATTAATGTTCAGATAAGCTATGGTTTATCTGCATGTGTTGTGCAAACTCGCCAGCGTCTTTCATTGCTTTTTTCGCTTGACGTAATCGGAGGTGACACTGAATAGTCTTGACGATATGGTACACCCCTGTCGCAGACCCTTGTTTACATCGGTAGCGGTGCTATAGGATGGCGAAATTTCGCTCATGAAGTTCTGCATTCGGTGAAGGGCCGTGCTGTTTATGCTTCTCCGTTGAAGAGATGGTATATCAGATTTCATAGTGAAGAACTAAGATGGTATACTCAACTTCTTGTGCATGGTATGAATACAAGCGGACGTGTATGTGTCAAGGATGAGATGTTCATCGAAGTCATGGATCCAGTGCCTTCTAGATCTAATAGCTTTTTAGTCCGGACATATGAAAGCTAAACGGGCTAAAGTTTTTTAGCTAGCAAAGTCTCTGCTGCCGTCGTGACTGCAATTCCGTCCTGTGCATCTGCAGCCGTTATTGCTAGAGTTTTCTTTGTAACATCGTGTTTTATGGCTTTCCTTAAGAACTCGCACGTACTTACTAATGTAGTAAAGATATTGGATGCACTCACCGAAATGATTACTGATGCCTATTCATTTCCTGAATTTCGCGGCTTTCAGAACTTTTTGCAAATCGGAAACTCCTACTCATATTGGCTTGTATTCTCAAGACCTCGATGAAAACTTTCAATGCTTCTGACTGTAAGCAAAAATCGGCGCCGTGATCCTTTTAGAGTTTAGTTCCGTATAATGGATTTGAGGTTTCATCAGAACTCTTCATAATGCTATCCTACGTTGCCTTATCAGTAGTCTTCGAGGTCATGATAAAGGTGCATTTTGTTTGGGGTACTGTAAATTAATACTTCACTGGGACTTGACGCGATGGAGAGTCTCCACATACATGCAGTTTACAAAATTAGCTGAGGGGATATGAATATCTGTTTTGGTAAAAGCAGTGTGCTGTACAGATTCTGAAGTAACGCTTGGCGTTTATATAGACGTATAGGTATGATTAGTTGTTTGCGGAATTTAGATAATCTAGTACAAGGAATCCATCCCTGTACTCTCATTTGATATACCTTTGTCGTTTTCCATTTTAGGCGGTTGAAGACGAGGAAAAAATGACTGATGAAGAGCTTGCGATCAAGAATGTAGGGAAACAGGATCCAAAAAGGCACCTCGGAGAAGAGGTATCTCATTTTACAACTCATATATATATATGTATATATACGCATATAAATACATATATGTATACATGCAAAATAAAAATAGAGTATAGAGCGCCATGCATTCGACTTCATTAAGCATCGTTTGGGGGTAATTGAATGCTTACGTGGCCTTTACAATGATTTGCGGTGGCCTACCAATGTATCGAGCCAGTGCTGCTATCCTCCCAGACAAGTTTGTTACCAATTTGCCGACCTCGAAGGGATGG